ACACACACACACACACACACACACACACACACACACACACACACATATATATATAAAGATTGTAATAGGAGGGAGTTACAAAGAAGAATAAAACCATAGGATTTTAGTAATGATGGAATAATAGCATTATTCATTCTCTCCCTTATGGGGCAGCCCTCTGCCTAGATTCTAGTAGGAATCCCCACGGAATTCAGAGGAGGCCCTGCCTTCTCCATCACACTGCCCTTTGCAGTGAATGTCCAGTGCATTCGCCAGAAGATGACAAAATGCAGAGAGGCCCCAATTTACAGGCACAATTAACCGTCCTGTTGTTAAGCAAGACCTTTATTAAATGAGGTTTGTCCCATTTTACAACCTTTCTTGCCACAGTTATTAAAGGGATCTTTGTAATTGTTCCTGACTTGATGTAACATCTTGAGCCACGCTTCTAGACCTCAAGAAGTTGAAGACGGGTGGACTTCAACTCCCAGAATTCCCTGAGGTCCAGAAACACAAATTTAGATGATTGTTTTGTTCCTGAAATCTGCCCAGCTCTTATTCTACGGATAGTCCAAAGCTCCACCAGGCACATGGGTGCGCGTCTGTGCATGCGGGCAGGCACCCAGAGCTCCCTGGTGCCACGAGAGGACTGCCATGTGCCCGCCCTGCTTCCCCAGCCAAAACGGGCCTCTGGTCTCGCTTTCCAAACTCACTCATTATTAATCAAGTTATAATTTACTCCGGCTGGCAGGCCGAGCTACTAAATATTTCATTGACCCCGTGAAATGATGCCTCTTCTGCCACCCGGCCAGCGCCCGCCGAACAAAAGCAGAGGGGTCTCTGCCCCACACAAAGGTCGGGGTCCTGCAACCGGAGACCCACCGCCAGCTGTGAGCCTCCTCTGTGGAGCCTCAGGTGGGGAGGAAGGAGAATTCAGTCTTTTGTCCCGGGCAACGTTGCATAACTGGTTTCAAATGCTGATTTTTCCACCCTGCGCGGATGACACCAAATAGGACTTCTTGCAAACGATGGACAGTTTTTGAGGGGCTGCCCCAAAGAAGAGGGGGGTCAAGCTCTTCTCCAAAGCCCCTGAAGGCAGGAGAAGAAGAAGCAATGGATGGAAACTAACCAAGGAGAGATTCAACCTGGAATTAAGGAGAAGCTTCCTAACAGGGAGGACAATTAACCAGTGGAACAGCTGGCCACCAGAAGTTCTGGGTGCTCCATCATTGGAAGTTTTAAGAAGAGTCTGGACAGTCGTTTTTCTGAAATGATATTAGGCCTCCTGCTTGGAAAAGGGGTTGGACTAGAAGACCTCTTAAGGTCCCTTCCAACTCTATTGTATTAAGATTAAGTGTGCTGGCACAGTGGTTAGAATGCAGAACTGCAGGCTAATTCTGCTGGCTGCTGGCAATTCGAGTCTCACTGGTTCAAGGCTGACTCAGCCTTCCATCCTTCCCAGGTCAGTAAAATGAGGACCCAGATTGTTGTGGGCAAGACGCTGACTCTGTAAACCGCTTGGAGATGGCTGTAAAGCAGTCTTCTTCCTCCTCCTCCTCCTCCTCCTCCTCCT